CATTAGGATTAAAATTTAAATGTTTGAGATTTTTGTCAACTAATTTCTGCTTCATATCACTAGTCAAACTACTAGTCAGAATTTCTGGTATGTCTCATTTCTATATACCAACAGATATCTAACCATCAACAGTAAGGAAAAGAGCTGGAATTTAAACATAATAAAACATTGGTACTTGAAAATTGCTTTCCATATAGCTTATCATTTAAAAAGTCAAGCCCTTGTATCCTACATGGTTGGAATGCTTTTTCTAGCAGCATATAAAATTATGAAATGTATTTTAAACTATGCACTGTTCTCCCAACCACTGCTGTAAATTCTACTGAAGTATAATTTTTTCTATGGTAGAGGCATCTAGTATTTTTGAGACATTAAACAGAAATTTTAATTCTAGACTGAAGATCCTTTTGTATTTAAATTTACGGAGAGGGATCCCATGATTAAAACCTCAGATCTTAAATATAAAATTTTTCAGTGCAAGGTAATATTGAAACATTATCAGCACCAAGAGAAATAAACATCATTCTCTTAAAAGAAAAAGTTTAATTGCTAAAACAACCCTAAGAACTTTTGCTTATGTGAATTATATCTGTTGATATCTGTGAGATAGATAGATAGATAGATAGATAGATAGATAGATAGATAGATAGATAGATAGATAGATAGATGATAGATAGATAGATGATAGATGAGTAGGTAGATAGATAAATAGATAGATAGGAGGTACATACATAGAAAATATCACATTAGAAATTCAAGCAGGGAAAAAATTTAAAGTATTTATTAAGTAATATAAAAATATAATAAACTTATTACATGTTAACATGAATAACATATTTTTGCAAAAAAAATAACTATATTTTCTAAAACAAAGTAAGTTAGTGAGAACAATGACACATATTTTTACACATCTTTAATGTCTGGTTTAAGAGAAGACAGCTATATCTCATATCTACTTCTCCATTCAACATGTTGTGATGTATTATTTTGGATAAAGTATATAAAGAGAATCTGGTCTTACAAATATACATGGTTTGAAAAGAAAGGAATATTTTAATAGCTTTTCCGAAAATGGCAACTATTCTTTGATACAACACCAACTTTACAAGACATAATTTCTTATAAGTTAATTACAATCTAGAATATGAATCCAATCATTAAATTCTCTATACTCTGTTATGTTAAAATCCATTGGTCTCTTTTGTACTTTGAATGAATGAATCTTTTCCACACACATTATTTTATACCATTGCGCATTAGGTACTTGGAAAATACTGCAGATCCTCCAAATATTGATACATATTATACAATATAACAAAACCACATTTATTGCTAACCCCACTGATATCTTTAGAAAATCTTTAAGTATTAGGAATGTAAAGATATAGGGGCAGATACAAATTTCCCAGAATTATAATTTTCACATGAAACTTTGACTTTTGTCACTGATGATGCAAACTGTCAGCTGCTTTCCTTGAAGTGACAGGTTCATTTCATTCATGTTTTTGGAAAAATGTGTGAAGAACCAGGTTTTCAGTTGTCTCTTCTAATGAAACAGTGTGAACAATTTAATCATACCAGAGCTTTTCCTCAAGGCAATCATTGTATTTAGGTGTGCACCAGAAGTACTTTTTGTATATTTCTCTTTGGCGATAGGAAACATATAAAATATCTTATGCCTTGGCCAGTGTTGCTCAGTGGTAGAGTGTTGGCCCATGGACTGAGGTCGTGTGTTCA